TCGCTATCATTAACTTATTAGTTCAATAATTCTTGTGTTTTATTAATATTCTATATTTTAAAGAATATTATTTTACAGCTGAACAATAAAAAAATTATGCAATAATTTCCTTTATTTACGTATGCTTTTAGAATAAACATGTTATACATGCTTTACCTTATTTGCATTTTTTTTATAGTGATTTGTACAATGTGTTTAATATTTATTTACATATATTCTATTGCAAACATTTTCATTCTTATATTCTTATACTTATGCTATGTATTCCATTATACGTAAAAATCGAAGTTTAACTCATTTATGAAAGTCATCAAAAATTCGTAAAGTACGTATCTAGGATTTGGTGTTGTTTGTTTTGCTTCTTACTTCTTACACAAGTGCATATGCTTCATTGACATAAAAAAATGTCTTGTCGGAGACCACGAGAAATTAAAGATATTATACAACGATGTGAAGAGCATCATTTAAACATCTATACTGCCGAAAACATAAGCAGAGCGAATTGTGTGTTTACAGTGTTTGGAAACAGGTGATTTAAATGCATTGTTTCTTTGGAAAAGTTCTTCGATTTATTACATGTGTCGTGTCATCGTAACAGGAAAGAGAGAAGATTTCATGACATATGTAAAAATTAAACGGAGAACAGTATTTTCGTTCAGATCGAGTATTCATGGATCATTGATTACTCTTTTTGTGGTCATCTGATAATTGAAAGTATTTTGTCATGTTATATATTATTTTGGAAAATCGTACTATATCTAGCAAATAATAATGAAACGAATGTTAGAAACGATTTCAGAAATCATTTACGTAGGGTATGTGAAGCGATTTTGTACAAAAATAAATTTTTATATAAGCATATATATTTATATTCTGTACAGTTTTATTTGGACATAACTAAACTCTCTTTTTATATATGTATAGGTTTCATCGATGCATATAATGTTTACGCGATTTTTATACGACGGGCTCAATAATTTGTTTATTGACATTTTTCTTCTTAATTGAACGAAATAGGAAGCAGAGGACATAGTGATGGCATAACGTATTAACTAGGCGAAATATCATGATCCTCTGTGCAAGAAAATTGTTGAACGAAAAAGAAAAGGAAAAAAAATTGTAATGTCAATGAAATAGTATTGTCATTGAAACTGTTCGTAAATAAGCGCTCCATGTAACAATTATTATATACAACTTTATAATTTTATATGTATGCATACATATACACAATATGCATAAATATTAGATATTGTGTAATTACCTATACATACATATACGTACGCATAAACATGTATATATGAATATGTATACGTTTATATGTATACATGTACATATATCGTATATTCAGAGATATTACAGAAAGTAATTTTAACTTTCTTCTTTGTAATTTTTTACATTCCTCGCCGTTCTTCCTTACTTCCTAATCTATTTTGTACTGCGTATCTTCTTCTACGAATTAAATTATATTTTTTAACCATCTACTACAGACTGAATTTCATAGAATTCGTTTATTTTAATTATACCTTTTTTTTCTTATTTTCGATGCTCATTAACAATTATGTGCTGCATTTAATGTTTGTTGTAAATATCTATCTTACGAAATATATTCAACGTATGTATAAAATCCGAATGACATATTTTGCTTTAATAAACTGTTAGAATCGTATAAACTGTTACCCCGACACAACAATATTATTCCCTTGCTGTTGCAAGGTGTAAATAAACCATTTTTTGTAGCATTCTGTTCTATTCTTTATCAACGCGAGAAAGGAATGCGAACGTTCTTTTATCCGCGTTACTTGCGAGCGATCCGCTATGCCTGTAACAATCGGGAACGTCATCGATGACTTTTATTCAAATTCACAGTAAACAGATACCAATCTTAGCGGTCTTAAAACGAACCAATGAGAGATCGGTCACGTGAACAATCGCGCCGCCATTGGTCGTGCTTCACCGCGATTGGCCTCGGTCGTTGATCGTCGGGCTTGGAGTCGTCGCGGTTGGCAACTGTTTTGATGTTTCCAAAAAAGTCACTAGAGAAAGTCACCGAACGGTCAGTCACGGCCGCGGCAGGTGTCTCGTACGTACAGGTGTTCAGTCAGCTAGCGGCGCGTACTCGCGTGTCCGGTGCGTGCGTTGCACTTTCAACGAGCTATATATTTCCATTGAACGGGGTCCTGCGAGTAAAAAGAAACGCGCGTGTGTTGTTTCATTCGAAATTCGTGACAATGTCTCTGTCGCGGTGTGAAGTGGCCGAGTCAAAATATCGGGAAAGGTGATCGCGGCTAAATAACAGAGATTTTCACACGAATGATCAACGGCAGACGTCGCAGGATATGTTGTAGCTGGATATTATGCTAATCACGTTACGGTCAGAATGCGGGAGGAAGAACTCGAGATATCGCTCAAGGTGATCAAAAAAATCCGTTTTTCATCCTTCTCTCGATATTCTTCCGACGGGAACCGCCGCGATTACTGCCTCTCCGACGCCCGTGCGAAACGCAAGACTTTTTAATTGGCGCGCCTCGAATGGTATCGAAACACGTACATATCAACGTTTCCTCGGATAAGGAGAAAGTGCATTGTTTACACGCGCTGCAAGCATTCTTTCCCCGATCGACGTTTATCATTCCAGAAACCGAAGAGAAAAGCTGAAAATTATAATTGAGAGCGTCGATTGTTTCGCGGATACACGGATACGATATTTCGCCGAGATTTCAAATCAAATTTCGGAAATGCGTATGCGCAGTGACAGATCTGTACGTATTCCCATGTAGTGTACACAACTAAAGCCGGCTGACGGGCCGAGATATGCTGTAGGTTAGGAACACGAAACTCTTAACTTTTCTATCTTTCTCCTGTTTCCACATTATGGAAACGAATAATAACAATTTGTGTAACGTAATACTCACTAGAAGGATACATAGAAATACCATACACTGGGTAACTAATCGTAATTGCTTGTAAATTGTAACATAAAAAGGTGGGGGAAAAAGAGTGGGACATTTAAAACGCGAATACCGGTTAATGTCGCAAATGTGGATTAATGCCGTTGTTGAATTGTGTCCATTAGAAGGAGAAAATTCTGTGTCGGAAAGCATCTTGTTTTCATTGATAATCCCCGAGGACCGTAATTATATCGGTCAACCTCTTATTGTGAAAATTGTGCGATACTGCATAGTCCTGCTTCGATGATCGCGGTTTATCTTTCAATTGCTATAACGGTACCCGCTCATATTTTCATAGGGTGTGTTCACGTAAAACCACGCATTACTTTAACTGTTCTTATTGTCCATGACTGAAACGAGTAGTTTGCGCGCGCGTACGTCTTTACAGCTTATTTCATCGCCTAGAGATACTACGAAACGTAATTTGTTATCTCGTATCGAGCACCGATCGTCGAGAATGAAATTTTTTAAAAATATTAACCCTTAACGGTCCAATGCCGCCATACACGCGGCAGAAATCAATAAAACCGTGAAATCTGGCAGGAAACATTGGAAGAATAGGCACGATTGTTTCGATGAAAATATAGTTTTATTAAATTAATAAAAGTTTTAATTAAACAAAGTTTTATTTAAAAAATGAATATCTCTTCTCTGTATTTAATACAAAAATTTTTAGTAAAATATTTCTCTTTGTCTGTAAAATAGTCTGGACTTGGCAGTGTGTAATAAATAGTTTTAATAAATAGTATAGAAATAAATAGTTTTGGTCCACTAAGGATTAAACGCTGTATTCGATTTCCCATCGGAATATCGAGGGATTACGAAAGATCGGAAAATCGTTTGATCTGTTAACAGTTCCACGTCCATCGGTACTTGTACCGCTACAATACACATATTTGGTACCGTTATTGTTGAAACTGTTTTATAACGTGATAACTTTATTGTTCGTTATGTTTTTTTTCCATTCTGCACAGCGTGGAGTCTTCTCCCTACCGAATACGACGATTCACGGTGATGCTTTTACCGATCGAGGAGGAAAAGATTACGCTTGAAAATTCTTTGCGTTTCGAGGTCAATCATTAAATACCGAACCGAATCAACGAATTTCACGAATTCGTTTGGGTTATGTTACCCGGTTGAATCGTGCGCCGGGCACGTGTAACTGGAAGCCGTTAATTAACAAAATATACAGGCTGTCCCAAAAATGTCTTGCAAACCGGAAACGAGAAGTTCCTGGGATCATTCGAAGTAACTTTTTCCTTAGCGAAAATGCAACCCGCGGCTTCGTTTACGAATCATTAACGAAAAACACTGACCAATGAGAAGCGAGCTCGCCAAGCGCTTGGCGGCCGAGCCAATGAGCGCACGAAGCCCAGTGCCGCTCATTGGCTCGGCCGCCTTGTGCCAGCATATCTCGCCTCTCATCGGTCACTCTTTTTCGTTGATAACTCGTAAACAAAGCCGTGCATTGCATTTTTGCTAAGGACAGACTTCAAATTACGTCAAGATCCTCCCATTCTCGGATCGCGAGACATTTTTCGGACACCCTGTGCATGTACGTATGTACATCCGAACGCGTGCACGTGCCGTAAACCGTAATGCAAGGTTATCGATTGCTCGATCAATCGATTGTTCCGGCGATCAAGTCGTACCAACGTTGGACACTGTCGTTAAAATGCGATCGATACGCAGTTGGGAAGGAGGACTATTTTACGATCGAATTCGATTACGACTGAATATGTCCTGGCATTTTCAATGTTCCCACCGAACCCCAGGAATTCCGGCCGTGGCTTCGACGGCCTTCGCCGCGGTCGCCGTTATTCAAAAGCAGAAAAAGTGTTCACCGAAAAGAACCAATTTATGGTAGTTATTAGAGGTTAAATCGATATTCTACCGAACTGTCACGGGATGACGTCGGAGGAATGCCTGGCGCGTTGATGAATAGGCTACTGAATATGCATGCAAATTGAGATTCTTCTAATCTATTTTTTACAAAACGGCGAACGACCGTACATTTATCCGTTTTATTAATAGCTTCGAAATGCTATAAATATATATATCATAACTATTCGTCGGCTCAGTTTTGTACGGTGTTCTAACCTGTATAGTTAGCCGATGAAATTCGCGAGGATGGGGGTGTGCAAGGGTGTTCGAAAAATTCGCACGATTAATATACAGAGGTTTAATTGGTGGCTGCTCGTTTCCAATAACTATCGCCGTTGAAAATAGTAATTAACCGGCCGCGGAGCGAAGCATAATTAAGATCGAAGCATCGCTCTCGATGATACGATATCTCGGATATCCATCGGAACTATCGATGTTTGACTACCAACTTTTAAACATTAATTCCTGATAGGCCGGAAAGATTTCCGAGCATTTTTCATCCAAGCTGTTTCACTGAAACATTAAAGTTACCTATCGTTCGTACGCAGAATGCGACCATAAGAGATTAAGAGCCACCGTAACTTTGCGGACGCGCTGTCGTTAACGCTACTTTCAAAATTCAAAAAAAAGTTTCCAACCGCTTCGCTGAATATTTTCAACGGTACGAATGATCGAGGACGAATTCGATTAATTTCGACAACGTTAGCTCCGAGAAACGGTACCTACAATTTGGCCATCGGCCGCGCGTGCTCGCGAGAATATTTTCTGCGGACTGTCTCCGTTTATGATAGCTATAAAAAGTCCAAGAATGTTTGCACACGTTCACGCGCGAATCGGGTTCCCGGCTTCGTATAATACTTGTTCCATTAAAGCGTAGGGATCTATGGCGCGTTAGAGATCGATAAAAATGCTCGTTGTCCGCGTGTACGTATGAATTACGGCGAGCATATGGCCGATAGCCGGCAGCGAATAATGAGCGTTTTTTCACGGATAACGGACCGATTCAATTCGAATTGGAATCGTCAAGGGCACTCGCGGTGTGTTCACGGTTTCTTCGCGCGCGATATTTCAAGTGGAATCTTGTACATACGCTTACTGACAAAAGTTAAGAAACAACGTAATCGTTCGATACATTTCGGTATATTCTCTATCTTCTAAGATACATAGGTTGGAACTAAAAATAGCATAACGAGATAGCATCCCGTACATCGATGTTCGATGAGTTTTTTCTCAAACATACTTGTACAAAAGCCATAATTAAATTGAATCGAAGAGATAAGACAAAAGCTGCGCGACATAAGTTAAGAAACATACATCGTTTAAGTTATATAATCGCTTTTAATAAAAACAGCGATGCGTCGATATATGTAGTTTTCATAACAGTTTAATAAGATGTTGGATAGCCCTTGGATTCGAGAACTGCATTGCATCCGCGTGGTATACAGGGTGTCCAAAAAAAATCTCGTAATTCGGAAATGGCGGGTTCCTCGGATCATTTGAAGCAACTTCTTCCTTTACAAAAATTTTCTCCGAGGCACCGTGAACGAGTTATCAACGAAAAGCAGTGACCAATAAGAATCGAGTACGGCTGACGCGAGGCGGTTCAGCCAACCAGCGCACGAAGCCCAGTTCCGCTTATTGGCTCGGTCGCCTCGCGCCAGCCGAGCTCGCCTCTCATTGGTAACTGNGATGGGGGTGTGCAAGGGTGTTCGAAAAATTCGCACGATTAATATACAGAGGTTTAATTGGTGGCTGCTCGTTTCCAATAACTATCGCCGTTGAAAATAGTAATTAACCGGCCGCGGAGCGAAGCATAATTAAGATCGAAGCATCGCTCTCGATGATACGATATCTCGGATATCCATCGGAACTATCGATGTTTGACTACCAACTTTTAAACATTAATTCCTGATAGGCCGGAAAGATTTCCGAGCATTTTTCATCCAAGCTGTTTCACTGAAACATTAAAGTTACCTATCGTTCGTACGCAGAATGCGACCATAAGAGATTAAGAGCCACCGTAACTTTGCGGACGCGCTGTCGTTAACGCTACTTTCAAAATTCAAAAAAAAGTTTCCAACCGCTTCGCTGAATATTTTCAACGGTACGAATGATCGAGGACGAATTCGATTAATTTCGACAACGTTAGCTCCGAGAAACGGTACCTACAATTTGGCCATCGGCCGCGCGTGCTCGCGAGAATATTTTCTGCGGACTGTCTCCGTTTATGATAGCTATAAAAAGTCCAAGAATGTTTGCACACGTTCACGCGCGAATCGGGTTCCCGGCTTCGTATAATACTTGTTCCATTAAAGCGTAGGGATCTATGGCGCGTTAGAGATCGATAAAAATGCTCGTTGTCCGCGTGTACGTATGAATTACGGCGAGCATATGGCCGATAGCCGGCAGCGAATAATGAGCGTTTTTTCACGGATAACGGACCGATTCAATTCGAATTGGAATCGTCAAGGGCACTCGCGGTGTGTTCACGGTTTCTTCGCGCGCGATATTTCAAGTGGAATCTTGTACATACGCTTACTGACAAAAGTTAAGAAACAACGTAATCGTTCGATACATTTCGGTATATTCTCTATCTTCTAAGATACATAGGTTGGAACTAAAAATAGCATAACGAGATAGCATCCCGTACATCGATGTTCGATGAGTTTTTTCTCAAACATACTTGTACAAAAGCCATAATTAAATTGAATCGAAGAGATAAGACAAAAGCTGCGCGACATAAGTTAAGAAACATACATCGTTTAAGTTATATAATCGCTTTTAATAAAAACAGCGATGCGTCGATATATGTAGTTTTCATAACAGTTTAATAAGATGTTGGATAGCCCTTGGATTCGAGAACTGCATTGCATCCGCGTGGTATACAGGGTGTCCAAAAAAAATCTCGTAATTCGGAAATGGCGGGTTCCTCGGATCATTTGAAGCAACTTCTTCCTTTACAAAAATTTTCTCCGAGGCACCGTGAACGAGTTATCAACGAAAAGCAGTGACCAATAAGAATCGAGTACGGCTGACGCGAGGCGGTTCAGCCAACCAGCGCACGAAGCCCAGTTCCGCTTATTGGCTCGGTCGCCTCGCGCCAGCCGAGCTCGCCTCTCATTGGTAACTGTTTTTCGTTAATAACTCGTTAATGATGCCTCGGAGAAAATTTTTGTAAAGGAAGAAGTTGCTTCAAATGACCCGAGGAACCCGGATTGCGAGACATTTTTGGGACACCCTGTATTTTTGGAAATTTATTTAGAGTAGCTTGACGACACATGCTTCGCGTTTCCAATGGACCACCCGATGTATAAGTCACGACTAGATAACCATATACGACGACTCGTCCAGAAACATGTAAATTTAGGGACAATCGGTGTAAATCCAGAGTGTACGAACGCCTCTTGATTCCGTGACACACGGACGAACCACACACGCGTGCGCGAGGTACACCTGTGCCCGGCTAACGAACGATTCAAGGTGAAAATAAACCTGCCTGTGTGTTTACATGTAGGCCAGACCATAAAAATTACAGTCGGCTACTTTATTCGCGTATAAATCTTTCGTGAGAATATGTACACGTAGATGTTATACAATTTATGAAATTATATCTAAATGTTTGCGAAGCGAGATCGATCGTGTTTCGTTCGAAAGCTCCGTTATCGTCGTTCAGTTGTTATACGATGTGCGGGACAATGATGTTTCCCGAACAGTTTTTTAATACTGCCACGAGAGATAATCGAGCGAGTGTATCGCGAGGCGGTCGATTAAGAAAATGACGGGGCAAAATTGATTCCGACACAGTTGCAGGCAAAACCGGTGGAGAATTTTAAGAGACATTTACCGTGCTGCTTGCCTCCGCTAATTAATCGTCGTCGGACAATTCCCGAAAACAATGGCGACACTGTCTTTCGTTCCCTTGCGCGTAAACGCGTTTCGTCCTTCGACTTTTCGACACCTGCTCCGAAGGACGTTTCGTTATGTGTGCACGACCTTGAATGACCTTGCTCGGGGGGACGTTGAACTTGCTCGAAAAGCGACCGCCGCGTGACATAAACAAATCGCGTTTCCCTATTTAACACAGAAATACGCTTGACCTTCGCGCGTTAACTTATTGATTCCCGGCATCGCTCAATTAATTCGCTGTCGTGTGCTCGCTGAATTAATTTGTACAATTCAATTGCCACGAATTTCATGGTATTTTCTCGGACGGTTCTTCGCCGCAGCTGTCGTTTTATTTTCATCAACGTTGCAGCAAAATTGATTGCGAGAATTTCTAACGAACAATAATTCTAGCAACAATGATCGCTTCGTTTTTTTAGAAAGCGATGCGACGACATCGATCAGCTTACAGCGAATCTCGTTGCGACCATTTGTACTCTAAATAGATCTCCAAAAATTGTATATTATTATCGTTTCATTTGATCCTCTTGAGCCTCGCAGCTTAGGAATGGCCTCCTTAACCTAAAACGTAAATCACTAGACGTTAAATATTGACATAACCTTGACGTCAAACTTGAAACGTTTCTAAAAATCATATAAATACGACACGTAGTCTTGTTCATCTTTTATCTCAACTTGTTCAAGGATCTCGGAACTTTGGTTTCACGCTTCGGTGTATATAATTTTGGTGTACGAGAGTAAAAACGTAAGAGTCTGACCAACTTCCGTGGCCCGGCGACGCGATTTCCCAAGATGGTTTCTTTTTAACGGGGCACACCGTGTACGGTTCCTTGACAGAAGCTCGATTCGGAAGACCGGTTCAGGAGGACGCGGTCCCTTATCGACTTAACCTACTTCTCGTTTTAGGGGCACCACCGTTATCTCGAATTTGGCGGAATTATTTCAAGTACAATGCCTCGGACCACGTCCTCGAGATTTTTTTCTCGCCGATCTGTTACACGCGACGGGAATGTGTCCGCTTCATCGAGCGAAGCGTCGCGTCGCGGGGAACGCGAAAAGTATGCAAATGAGATTTCGATGCTCGCTCGATGCGCGCACGTTTATTAATATATTTTCCATTTCGGTCCCATTCGACCGGCCGCTCGAATACAGTCGGAAGCACGCGAATTCAATTCGCATTTACGGCATATACCACGGCCATCAGATTCATGGGGCGTAATAAAAGGTTTGATCAAATTTAAGGAGCCTCTCGTTACGTACGGAACCCGCGCAAGAACTCTGATAACCTAAAAACAATTTGGCGTTTCGGTCGCGGCTTGGAAATGGACGGTTGATATATGATTTTATGTTTTTTTATTATTATTTTATATTTATTATTATCATATACAGGGTGTCCCAAAAATGTCTCACAATCCGGAAATGGCGGGTTCCTCGGATCATTTGAAGCAACTTCTTCCTTTACAAAAATTTTCTCCGAGGCACCGTTAACGAGTTATTAACGAAAAACAGCGACCAATAAGAATCGAGTACGGCTGACGTGAGGCGGCTCAGCCAACCAGCGCACGAAGCCCAATTCTGCTCATTGGCTCGGTCGCCTCGCGCCAGCTGAGCTCGCCTCTCATTGGTCACTGTTTTTCGTTAATAACTCGTTAACGGTGCCTTGGAGAAAATTTTTGTAAAGGAAAAAGTTGCTTCAAATGACCTGAGGAATCCGTTACTCTCGGATTGCGAGACATTTTTGGGATACCCTGTATATTTATGATATATTGAATAGTAAAATTCTGAACATTCGTATGTCGTTGCATTACAGCGTCAATTGTTTCAAGTAATTCGTAAATTGTAGCTCCAGACTGTTTTAAACAGTTCATAATTTGTAGGTTGGATAATGCGATCTGCGTTTATGGTTTGCCTCGTAAAAAAGTGCATCCTTCGATTGTGAATCTTCAATTAATTGAAAGGAGGAGCTCCGGTATGTACAGAGAAATAAATGAATGAGAACGGGACTGCTGTTTAACCGTCGAACGACGGAGCAGTTTTACAGCTGTACGATAGGCAATATTTATAACAATTCTGTGCTTACAATTTTTCCGAACATATTTTTCAAGATATTTCACGCAGTCTCACGTTAGTCTTTCCGTCGACAGCTATTTATTTCATTTAATTGCCAAAAATTGAGTAATTAGGGGAACCGTTTAAATACATCGGGTCACAAACGACCCGGTGAACGCAGGCCGAGGATTAATGGGCAACGAACGCTAGGGCAGTGCTGCTACGAGTAGATAAATAAATACATGAACGATTTAATTATAGGACTTCGTTGTACTACGTCCCGGAAGAGGATAAATCGAGAATTTCCTTTTGCATTCCTGCATAATTACCTTTCGGGGACGTTACGGGAAGCGATCTTTGCACGATTATATAGGGGAAAGTGTAATGAAAATATTCTACCTTTTAATAACGCTGAACTAAGCGGAACTCGGAAGATATTCTTCGTCAATTATGGAAAACTTGTACGGTTCTCTGTACTTTGTCGAACATACTTTTTTTTCGATAAATTATAAACAACGCATCTCAGTCTACGGCGCGTTCGCAGTTTAGGCAAATACTATTTAATTAAGATAAAAATCTGGAAGATAATATGAAATAGATTATTCAGGAGCATCAACATGAAATATAATTTATAAAACGTTGATCTTTTAATGCTGTTTCTAATCGCAATTATTAACAAATCTCGTCAATTTAACAATGATAAATAATGCAGCTCGGTCCACGGTGTGTTCGCAGTATAGACAAATACTATTTAATTAAGAAAAAAATCTTGAAGATAATATGAAATAGATTATTCAGGGCATCAACATGAAATACAATTTATAAAACGTTGATCTTTTAATGCTGTTTCTAATCGCAATTATTAACATATCTCGTTAATTCAACAGTTTTCCCTAAAGCGATGAACACGAGCAAACGATTTTTTTTTATCAAGCGAACAGCTAGCGCTTCAGTTGGGACTTACGCGCGCCGCGACCTGTCATTCGACCGTCGTGTCGTATTCGAGCTTAAAGATGCTCGACGCGAACCCTTCGCGGGCTATTAATTAAATTAAACGTATCGCAATAAAGCGGGTAGGCTCCTGTGATATCGGCGCGCGAGAGCGTATTCGTAATTAACCGCTTCCTCCGTTTCTTCCGCTGAAATTACAGCCGGCTCGGTAACTGTACATGAAAAACTGTTAATCAACCTGAAATCACGAAAGCCATTCACACGCGGGTCCGACCATTTTTTCCCCGGTGTGTCGCGGCCATTGTTCGCCTGTTCGGCCGATGAATTAATATGGCCGCCATAAAGACCACGGGAGAAACGTGCTATCGATAATTCCATTCGGACAGGTTCCTCCGACATGTGCGCGAACCGCTCGCAGTGGAATGTCGTCAAATAGACGGCTTTCACCCGGGGATTTTCTTGATTCTTTGCAGCATCCGCAATCCGCGCCCGCTGTAACAACCAACGTTCCGTCGATTTAATCCTCTTTTTGACCGACTCGAGCGGCAGCCGTTCCTCTTAATCAACCTTACCTTTCGCGAGCGCTATCTCGATCTTTGGTAATCTGCTCGAACGAAAAGCAATATCCCGATGGGTCTAGGAAAGGAAGCGGGATGCTTCTGGATTTCTTTTAATCCTATATCGATGATCGTCGACGGTAGAACAGAGGTCCTCGAGAAATTGTTTCAGAGCCTAGGTTAAGTGTAGGTATTAATGCGGTTTCTCATTGAAAGCGAACTTCGACAGAGAAAAAATAAAACTTTTCACGCGAATAAATTCACGACTCGAGCTGTACCTGTTATTCTTTAACTTGAATATTTACTTTTCTCAAAATAGTAGATCTCTGGAAGCACGAGTTTAATTAAAAAGTGTAATGTAAAGAAACCATACGTGCGTATATATTACTAGGGTTATGTATATATTATTGCGAGCCAAATATGTACATACCGCGGACGTTCTGATTACTTCGTGTCAAGGTGACATAATCCATTATCTTCTAAATGTATACACACACAGCTACGATTCCTAGGATCAAGATATTCTCACTGTAGCACTTTACAAATTAGATATAGGCGCTCTACGATCGAGCGTGTTCGCACCGGCTCGTCGAGGACTGCACTGTATATAGGTTAAGATATGCAGTTCCGTAAAGCATTTCAGTTAATGTCCGCACATAGTAAAAAACTGTACGTCAAATACATACTGTATTAGTAAATAATATTTGAGGCTAATGTACGTCGACTTTTTACCAAAGTTTAACGATTACTTTATCTAAAAATAACGCTAAAATGAATAGATTATTACTAATTACCAAAATACATACAGGGTGTCCCAAAAATGTCTCGCAATCCGGAAACGGCGCGTTCCTCGGATCATTCGAAGCAATTTTTTCCTTTGCTAAAATTTTCTCCGAGGTTTCGTTCACGAGTTATCAACGAAAAACAGTGACCAATAAGAATACGGCTGACGCAAGGCGGCTCAGCCAACCGGCGCACGAAGCCCAGTTCCACTCATTGACTCGGTCGCCTCGCGCCAGCCGAGCTCGCCTCTCATTGGTCACTGTTTTTCGTTAATAACTCGTTAACGGTGCCTCGGAGAAAATGTTTGTAAAGGAAAAAGTTGCTTCAAATGACCCGAGGAACCCGCCACTTTCAGATTGCAAGATATTTTTGGGACACCCTGTATAAATGCCTTTCGAATGAGCATTCACAGGTGCCGTTACGAGTATATCTCATAAGACTCGACGTTTTCATAAGCTTCCGTCAAAAGTCAATAAATGAATTAAAACCGCGATTACTGTTACTTGCTCGCCATAAAATATCGATATTAAACGTGCAAAACGTTATGAGATTCATTTCTAGAAGATTACACGTTATAAAATCTTACTTAACCTAGAATCTAGAGAAACAGAAATATCGTGGGAACGATGCAGACCGAATCGAATCGAATGCCGATTTTATCCGACAGAAAGAGATTTCGTAGCAGGACGTTCGAGTGCTTCTCGAAATTCGGAATTTGCATAATCGGGCTCTGTTAATTACGCACCGGGGGACAGCATGTTCCTGAACGGTGACATCGGTCATCCAGAATGAAGGTCGAGATATCCGTCTCGTGCGGTGCTTATGAATATTATCGCCGCGTGGCCAGGATCATTTTATCGCCCTCGGCATTATTAATGAAGCAATAACACGGATTCTCGATTCCTGGTTCCGTAGCGCGGTACGCGTCTAATACGATCGACGCCGCGACGCGTAAACGTGTTCGGCGTGTACCCGACTCTGGGTAGTTCCAATAATGCTTCTTAATATTCGCGCAATTAACAAGCTTGTAACACCGGCTCTTGTCGAAAAGGCGACGCCTTCGGCGAACGACGTTTTGCCCGGTTCTTATCCGTTCGCGACCGGCGGCCATATCGAGAACGCGGTTCCCCGCGTTCCAACCCCGCATCTAATCGCGCGATGATGTAATTATTTAATTGACGCCGCGGATTGTATCATTTGCGTTTTATTGGACGTACTCTCCGCCTTGCCGTATTCTCGCGTTTCTGCCGCCGTAATTGCTGCCCCGCTCTGCTTATTGCTTTTCTGCAATGTTTTTGCGCCGCTAGAGCGCGTCTTCTTCGTTCTCGCATTCCACGACGGGGCAGTCAAATTTTTTTTTTCCCGCGATACACTTTTTTCCACGCGTTGTGCATATTTCGAGGACGCGTTAACTGTCGGCGGAAATCGGCCGGAATCGACGCGGTTTATTTAATCGGCCGGGAATCGAGGGGTCGAGCGTTACAGCGGCGCGACTCTGCACTCCTCTCGTGTCTCTCTCCCCCCCTCCCCCCTCGAGAGCCTCCTTAGCACGACAATTTATTTTCACGTCCGGAACAAGAGTTTAACCGCTGCGTATAAACGTCTTTCCGAATCGCGTGAACAATGAATTACGCCGAAACGACGGCGTCGATTCGATGATGTACCTAACCTCGCTTTTATTAGTCCGTCGCTTCGACGGGCGATAAGCATCTGGCCTAACTGTCGCCTGTTTCAATGTTTTTCTTTTCTTGCTTCTTTTTCTTTTTTCGTTGCCGGTCAGAACGACTCCGGGTTGCTTTTGCTTCGCGGTCACGCAGATCGTAAACACGGTTCGGTGGAAAATTAACAAATAAATGCATGTACGCCATAATGGAAGTCACGCAACGTCCCAGCGAACGCGCTCTCGAAATTTTTACGAGAAATTATATGAGAACCAGTCCGCTCGATTGCTCGACGCCGGATGTTTATGTCCAGCCCAATCTTGCCGCGTTTTCACGCGTTTTTCCTAACGGAAAAAATTTTTGCCGCATGGAGTTCCCGGCGGCTTCCGGCAGAGTTTATCGATCTCCCGATGAAATCGTCTCCTTTTCGTCGCTGTCGGCTTCGTCGGATCGGGAACAAAGTGGGGCTTCGATCTACTGCATTATAAAAGGAAGAAATAAAGCGTAGAACGTTGCGGTTCTTAACGCATTTTCGCGTCCACAGTTACCTCTGCTCGATGGTCTCATCTCGCTTTCCCTTCTCTACCGGAATTACCCTAAATTATACGTAATAACATTTATTGTCGACCGACGTTATTATACACTTTCGAATATGGAATGCGCCGTCGCTTCGTTTCGCGTCGCGTCGAGTCGCGTCGAGGTTATATTCGCGTCGTGTCGCGTCGTGTCGCGTCGCTACGTTTCGCATCACGACGAGTCGCATCGCTACGTTTCGCGTCGCATCCCGTCGCGTCGCTACGTTTCGCGTCGCATCCCGTCGCGTCGCTACGTTTCGCGTCGCATCCCGTCGCGTCGCTACGTTTCGCGTCGCATCCCGTCGCGTCGCTACGTTTCGCATCGCGTCGCGTCGCGTCGGCTCGATTACGCGACCGAACTGGCTCGATATCGCTGAATTAACAGCCGGCATTTAATCACCGCCGAGGAAAGTCTCGCGAGAATATCGCGGCAGCACCTTTTCCTTATTCGTGCATGACCTATGGCTTTTAGAAAGTCCATCTCCGCGATAGTCAACGAGCAACCGTGTACGCCGTGTAACCGTCCATGTCTTCAATTGAATCGAAATTAGCCTCGGTGACGAACGCCGCTGGCCTTCCACCGGCTAGAAATGATCGGGCTGCCGTGAACGATCGTGACAATAATTCTTCCACTTAGCATCGGCTCTCCACGAACTATAAATTATTAATTCTTACGCCGGGAAATCCGGTCCTCTCCGATTAATCGTACGCCACGAACATTCGCGTGCCGCGACTCTTAAAAGTTTTCACATTGAAAAATGGTTCGCTGAACGTGATCTCTCCGTACTCTAATATTTAACGCTAGATTTACTCGTGTCGATTGTATAGCAATTTTTACCGAAGCGAGCTAATTTGACTCGTTACGACAAAATTGAAGTTTTCTACAAGAAAAAATAGAAAAAAAGTAGTTCTAAATCAATTTAAATCAAAGATTTACCAATTTTAAATGAAAGAAATACCATTTACAAATAAATATCTGACCAACCTTGATGGACCAAATTTTTGTTGCAAACAATTGATTTTATAAAATTATATTATTTCGCTAAAAATACTTCGACGATCTTTTTCGTTAAAAATGCACCGAGCGATCCTGTTTTTAAAGGATATTCTTTCTGAATGTTTAACAAATATTTAGCATAAATTAACAGATCTATTAATATATTATTTAATAATATATTTAGTAATATATAATACTAATATATTATTTAATAATATATTTAATAATACATAATATTAATATATTATTTAATAATATATTTAATGATACATAATATTAATATATTATAATAATAGGTCTCCGGTAGTAAAATTTAATAGTGTTTCTAGCGTAATTGAAGGTGTTCGTGCGTTCGACGAATTTGCGCACGCCACTCGCTCCATTCCAATAAGCTCCACAGTCCACTTACGACTTTAAACAGCTGCGAGAGCGCTTTCGAAACTTTCGAACGTTTTCGTGTGTTTGTTCATGTACGATCTCGTAACAACGAAACTATTTTTGCGCAGGTGGTGATAGTCGGTAACGGCGCCGTAGGAAAATCATCGATGATCCAGAGGTTTTGCAAGGGAACGTACACGAGGGACTACAAGAAGACGATCGGCGTCGATTTCCTCGAACGGGAGATCGAGTGAGTAAACGAACACGGGGACGATTCGATAACATTCTAATCTGTCTTCTCGACCGTATAATTCACGGCGGCGATCTTTCGCGCGCCGCGAACATTGTAGATAAAAAAGTACGATCCCGCCGAGCCGAGCCGTGCCGCGTTGAACCGCGCCGAGCCGAGTCGAGCCGAGCCGAGCCGCGTCGAGCCGAGCCGAGCCGAGTCGAGTCGAATCGAGTCGAGCTGAGCCGAGCCGCGCCGCGCCGCGTTGATGGAGCGATGCACTCTTCGACGTTCGAACAATATTGGCGCGAACGATCATCGAACGTTTCTGCTAACTATAATCGGAGCATCGACGGATCTTTATCGGTCTTCCGAGGAAAATCTACGCGAACGAGTTACGAGCTGGCCAATAACGGCGATGTCGATTAACCTCGACGAGGAGATTCTCTTTCCTTCTTTCTTTCGTCAGCGCATTTCTTTTCTTCTCTAAGGAATCGTATCGACGGCGAGCCGATTTTTCACGAGCGAGTAGCCACGCTTTTAATTCGTGCGCGGATTTTATGCATTTATGACGAAAATGAATAGATCGAGTACGAAACTAAAAAGACGTTGGAAGAGTTTAAGGGTGTTGCAATGTTATTGTCAACTTGTCGCGATCGTTCAAAGAGAAAAGATGTTCACATTTCATTCGTATTTCTTACGATTAACTCGGACAATTTTTATTTTGCATAAGGATCGTTCTTCGATCATTTAATTATTATTACAATTGAAAGCTGTTCAACGTTTTCTTTGCACTCGTGAAAGATTCTCAAGATTATCCGCAACAATGTGGCAGGTATCGAATTACCTGGACTTGTGTTAAATATTAATAGAAAAAAAGAGGAAAGGCTAAATTGAATGGTTCGCGGAGCAATTATTTGCTAACTCCTGGTTAAACTTTGTTAGTTTCGGAGTCCGTCATTGTGCGTGGCCCGAAATGCCCGCGGAACAATCCGTCGAAATATCTCACGTATGGTGGGAATATTAATATCCGGAATAGAAAAGCTGATTTTCATGGTGCTGAAAGTGGTGTAGGAAGAGAGGCGGCGGCCTATGGTCGGACGGTAATTAAAGAGTGTGTTGAAGAAGAATGCATAATAGGTATACGCACCGCCGCGCCGCCGCGGCATGGCGCGCACACACACACACATACATACACACACGTTCGTCGAGTTAATTACGTTCCGCGGGAGACGACCCACTAGCTCGTCCTCTTGCCATTTTCTGGAAGATCGACGAACGCGTTCCCCGTCGTATACGTACTCGGTGTTTCCAAAAAAAACCGGTGCAATCGGCAGAAACATTATACAAAACTGCACGAATTCCGAAACGACAGATCTCCGCACAATCGATTCGTTTTATTTTTAAATAAAAATAAATAGAAATGAATAGAAATAAATCGAAATAAATGGAAATAAATGGAAATAAATGGAAATAAATAAAAATAAATAGAAATAAATGGAAATAAATAAGAATAAATAGAAATAAATAAAAATAAATAAAAATAAACAGAAATAAATAGAAATAAATAGAAATAAATAAAAATAAATAAAAATAAATAAAAATAAACATAAATAAATAGAAATAAGTAAAAATAAATTCAAATAAATTGAAATAAATCGAAATAAATGGAAATAAGTACAAATAAATAGAAATAAATGGAAATAAATGGAAATAAATGGAAATAAATGGAAATAAATGGAAATAAATGGAAATAAATAGAAATAAGTAAGAATAAATAGAAATAAACAAAAATAAATAGAAATAAGTAAAAATAATTAGAAATAAATAGAAATAAATAGAAATAAATAGAAATAAATAGAAATAAACGTATACTTTATTTCGGTTCGTACAAAAGTTTTACTGTTACTAGAAAAGATGAGCAATGACCGGGCACGTTAACAGCCTGTGTAAATTGGCTCACGCGACCCTTTATTACTCTTCCGATTGATAACCAAGCGGAGACCATTGATATTACACGTAGACGTGGTTCCGTCCAAGAAAATTGTTTAGATTGCGATCATCGGTTCGAGCAAAAAAGGAACGTTGCAGCTACAGGGATATCGATCTTTACGATGGCGGATCATCTTACGATGAACGGCAACGATTTCAAGTTGATCTTCTTTCACAAAATGTCTATTGAAAATTCAATTCAAGAACTAAGATTTATCAGAGACGTATTCTGGTTTAGTAATACAGGTACGATTATCGATAAATCTTGATCTTATCTCATTCTTTGATAAACTTAATTTTAGCCTCAAAGCGGACAAAGTTCGAACCGTGCTAGTAGGAAAACACTTTTTTTCGAAGAGAGTTCGTTCAAGAAATAACAACTCGAAGAATTCATATTAACCAGTTAGCTGTGTTTGACGAGTATACTCGTCATCGCTTGATTCTCGCGACACATACAGGGTGTCCTGAAAATGTCTTGCAATCCGGAAATGAGAGGTTCCTGAGGTCATTTGAAGCAACTTTTTCCTTTGCGAAAATTTTCTCCGAGGCTTCGTTTACGAGTTATTAACGAAAAACGCTGACCAATAAGAGGCAAGCTCGGCTGGCGCGCGGCGGTCCAGCTAACGAATGCACGGAGCCTAGTTCCGCTCATTGGCTCGGCCGTCTCGCGCCAAATGTTCTCGTCCCTGATTGGTCACTGTTTTTCGTTAATAACTCGTAAACGAAGCCGCGGATTGCATTTTCGCTAAGGAAAAAGTTGCTTCAAATGACCTCAGGAACCTCCCATTTCAGGAATCCCCTACTTTCGGATTGCGAAACATTTTTGGGACACCCTGTATAGGTGCGCGTTCTGAAATGGAGGCGCCACAGTTAACTGATTACATGAGAATGTGTCCTAACACTTTTGAAGGGGAGCGTAGACCTAGACGCTGCAATCTGGATCGATTGTATCGGCTGTCGCGGTCTTTTCGAATGAAAATCGATCTACGGATCGTTCGACGCTCAATAGCAAGCTCCTAGACATCTTCGTCAGCCTCATTTTCGCAGACATTCATTCGAGAGCTACCGCGTTTCATCGATCAACTTCCTTCTGCCTTGACGAGAAAGAGAGACCTGGTACACGAAGCCAGATTAGAAAAATAGGATATCGCAGGGCTCTCTGATTCTCGCTAAAATAAGTTAAACAGTTCGGTACCCTCTGCCGGTAATCTTCTTTACGAGTTGGATAACCATTATTCCCGATTCGATCGCGCAGGCGAGCGTAATTGCATTCGCCGCGGCGGTTTATGGGGGCCCCGAGGAGTCTCTTTCTATCGAGCAGAGGCTTGTTAAAACCCGAGTCGCGTTGTTACGCTGGCTCGCGTTCCGTCGCAGTCGTAACGAAAGCCAAGCGGACGGGGTCTGATTAGCCGGGATTAAATGAAAACGAAACACGGCGAAACACTCGCGTTTTTCATAATGTCGCCGCGCTGTCGGCCGGCCGGCGGCCTGGCCGAGCGTGGTCTGCGCGAAAATCACGCGAACCGGAAGGTCGGCGCACGAAGCCGGGGAGTGGGGGGTGGCTTCCCTCGATTACAGAACGCTTCGCGGCGGCTTTCCTCGCCGCCGTTTCTTTCCGTTCGTTTCCACGTGAACGCAGCGGAGGTCCGTCGCGAGTGTCGTGACTCGTGACGAAGGTCGCCGGCCGGTCTGCCCCGTATTTCAAACGCGACCGATGCCTATGCACGAACCTCGCGCAATTCCAGACCATTTTTTACCATTCTCCTCTCGTGTCCATCGCTCGCGGCTCCTGGAATTATCGTCGTCGGGCCCGCGGACGCGATTTTCTTTCCCTTCGACGGAACTCGCTCGCACGGAATTCGCGCGTAACCCACTTATCGGCTCCGTCGGATTCACCATTAGCCGACGAGAATATTATGCTATCGTTCCATTTCAACCGGACTTTTTTTCTTTATTTCTTTCTTTCTTTCTTTTTTTACTTGATTCGTTTAATGTCGCATTCGCTTAACAGCAATTAGCGACCACTTGTGAGATAACGTTTGTAGGGTAATAATATGTACGATAGTTTTTTGCATTATTTTCTTAATCCCGGCTTCTTAAGTTGCTGTACAAATGCGTGCTGGCAAATTGCGTTTCGTACCAAAAATGATCGATAATTAAATTCGACGTTTATAAAACAGGGAAAAATGTTTCCCTTAGTCGTGAAGGGGTTAACCCTTTGCACTCGAAACCGAATTTTAAGCAAAATTTAAAATGGTCTTTCCGACCCATGGTTTCTTCATTTTACACGACCTAGTGCATTTTATGCATATGAAATTGAATATTCTGGCGCAAGCAATAGTTAGACTTTTAACAGCTCTTTAAATATAAACAAATAGAAATAAAAAAATGTATAAAATTAAAATTTATGATATTAAATATAAAAATTTACAAATAAAATTATTTTGAGACGTGACATAAGAATTTTCAATGGCCCCTCGGAGCCGCCACTCGAGTGCAAAGGGTTAAACATACAGTGGGGTCGATAGAGAATACACTTTCTCCGAGTTCACGGTAGGAGAAAGGTGTGTTCGAACGTATCCATTTTTGTCAACCGGAATCGTCGGTCCGCGTTCCCGAGAACTGTTCGACTGGAATAAGGAGCGTGTACACGAAACGCAAACGATTCGCTCGTTTCGCTCGTTGCGAACAGCAGATCCGTTCGCATTTTCGTGCGCGCGTGGTATCGTAATTAGGTTGCGCAAAAAAATAAGAAACCTCCGAGAGAAACCGGAGGGAATGTAAACGAGAGATCTGTTACGGTACGGTTAACAAACTTGCAAATGAAAGTAATGCGATGAATGAAACGAACGACCGCGAAGAGCTGCTCGAGAATGCTTCGCATAGTTATAGTTGCACCTTATTGCAGCAATGCGTAGCTGCCGTTTAAAAAAAGTCAAGTTGATCCTGTCAAATTTCATATTACACGAGAAGATCGGAATATTTGTAGTAACTATATGCCATTTGAAAAATCTATTTTTCCGGAGCGTTACTACCCGCGTTTGACGCTAATTATTAATTATTATATTATGTAATATTATATAATATTACATTACATTACATATTACATTACATTACATATTACATTACATTACATATTACATTACATTACATATTACATTACATTACATATTACATAACATATTACATTACATTACATAACATATTACATTACATTTCATAACATATTACATTACATTCCATTACATTACATTACATTACATTACATTACATTACATATTACATTACATATTACATTACATTACATTACATTACATTACATTACATTACATATTACATTACATATTACATTACATTACATTACATTACATTACATTACATTACATATTACATTACATATTACATTACATTACATTACATTACATTACATATTACATATTACATATTACATTGCATTACATTGCATTACATATTACATTACATTACATATTACACTACATTACATTATATATTACAATACATTACATTACATTACATATTACACTACATTACATTATATATTACAATACATTACATTACATTACATATTACACTACATTACATTATATATTACAATACATTACATTACATTACATATTACACTACATTACATTATATATTACAATACATGACACGTTACATTATAATATATAATAATTATTCATTATTATTCACGCTAATTCCAAGCGAGAGACGGTTAGCGTGCTGCGGCTCGAGCAGTCGTGCATTTTCTTCTTGCTCGTGTAATACGAAACGCGCAGTAATTTTCTAGAGATTGAGCCGGATCGGTGCTGTAGCGTGCGGCGTCGAAGATCGAATTTTATTTAATGGTATATTTATTTAACGTTTAATGTTTACGGAGCAATGTTTGCGGAGAATCGCTTCGCCGCGCCGCGCCGCGTTACAGATCACAGCCACGCGCCACGCGAGGACAGAGGAGAGATAGCGTCGCTGGATCGCGTCGTGTCGAAGCGATCGTGTTATTTGTTTGCTGGATAAAACGGTGCGCGAGCTCGCTCGATCTACTTCGAGAGCAGCGCGAAAAAGGAAAAAAGAGAAAACTCGGCCGCGTTTCTTCTTCTTCTTAAGAACGGTCCCCCTATAACTCGGTTGCGCGGTGAACCATTATCGCATTCCGTTATTTAATCCGCGCGGAATTCGTCCCGATATCCACTCGTTGCGTTTGTACAGTTACCGTGTTTTCATTAACGCCCGGCAGCAACCGAGGATTTTCATTGGCTGCTCGCCGAGGCTCGTTCGTCGCGAAACGCGCGGCCTCGGATCGACGATTTCCTGTCTCGCGGAATGGAAACGATCCCGCGGAGTCCGTTTCGCGGGAAACAGAAAGGAAGAGGAAAGGAAGAACAATTTTCTGAACCGATCGGGCATCGTCGAATCGAACCTAATGAACCGTTGCTAAATATTTCGTTGCGTTCATAGTACGAAAATTGCGAACGCGAAGTCAACGTTCCATGAAATATTTAGACTATTTTCAAGGTGCTTAAACAGTCGATAGAGGCAGTGGCATTTTATGAACTTCAATGCTCCTCGAACTTGCCCAGAGAAATGAAGACTCGAATGGCTGCGAGACCGGCGACGTTTCGGTCGATTTCGATCCGTAATTCGTATGCATTTTCTTGAATGCACCGTAAGCTTAAATGGTATAGTATATTCTCCCTAATTGGCGCACGGATTGCGCACAAAAATAGATTTAAATAAATATATAAATGTAATGAATATAATATATAAATATAATAAATATAATATATGAATATGATAAATATAATATATGAATATAATAAATATAATATATGAATATAATAAATACAATATATAAATATAATAAATATAATATATAAATATAATAAATGTAATATATAAATATAATAAATATAATATGTAAATATAATATATAAATATAATATATGAATATAATAAATACAATATATGAATATAATAAATACAATATATAAATATAATAAATATAATATATAAATATAATAAATGTAATATATAAATATAATAAATATAATATGTAAATATAATATATAAATATAATATATGAATATAATAAATACAATATATGAATATAATAAATACAATATATAAATATAATAAATATAATATATAAATATAATAAATGTAATATATAAATATAATAAATATAATATGTAAATATAATATATAAATATAATATATGAATATAATAAATACAATATATGAATATAATAAATACAATATATAAATATAATAAATATAATATATAAATACAATAAATATAATATATAAATATAATAAATTTAGGAAGAGGAGGTACGATTATTCGGCTCGTTTTTATAGTCGTTGAGAATCGGTAAAAACTATGGTAACTATAAAAACGAGTCGCGAGGCTTGAACAATCGAATCTCCTCTTCCCAAATTGTCCATTTTCGTTTACAAGCAGAACAACAATTAGGAAGAATATAACCATAATCGTTGTTCCTATTGTTTCGCAGAGGCTTTTACAATGAAAATTCTGCGTATCTAGACGATTTTAGACGCGACAGGTTTCTGACAGACGCACGATAATTTAATGACAAATACAGCATCGAGGGAAAGCAGCTGTCTGCTATTACAAAGTAAATTCTCGCTAATTACAGCGCAGCTTGTAAACAAAAATTGACAATCTAGAAAGAGGAGAGATACGATTATTCCAGCCTTGCGGCTCGTTTTTACAGTCGTTGAGAATCGGTAACTATAAAAACGAGCCGCGAGGCGCTCGATCAATCGAATCTCCTCTTCCCAAATTGTCCATTTCTCTGTGCAATCTGTGCGTCAATTAGTGAGTATTTAACCGTACTTCGAAGCAACGCTGGCCACGTTATCCGCGTCGCCGTTGGATCTGCAACGAAATACTCGCCGCTGATATCTTGTTTCCACAAAATCGCAGAGGAAGAATGAGGAGGGTGCTTCGCTTCGTGGCACTTTTATCAAGAATTCGTATCTAATCTCTGCCGGAGAAGCCTCGAGAGAGAGAGAGAGAGAGAGAGAGAGAGAGAGAGAGAGAGAGAGGAAGCCGCGCCGAGAAGCAGAATTTCGGCTGTCTCCGGTCCCGAAACAGGGCGCTTCCGGTTCCAAAGTTGCCGCCGCGCGAACGAACGCGCGTGTATCTCACGGTAGATTCGTGGCGAAAGAAAGGGGCCCCGCAAGAAAGATGCTTTCCTTCTGAAAAAGGCGAGCACACCGGTGGCCTGGCGCGACGCGACGCGACGCGGTGAGCGAACAGAGGCGAACGTGGATCAGGAAGTATCCCACGATTGCCGGCGTCTCGGGACTCGGGACGAATAAGAGGCGCGTTTCTCAAGGACCAAGAAGCGTGCAGCTACCTACCTACTCCTGGATAAAGGCTCCGCGAGACCGCGGCCATATGCAAATCGCGTTCGCGCGCGGCCGACTATCGACGGAACTTCGACGTTCGCGAGAACGGGGGCTGATTCTTGGGGACACGGGCCCTTGCCTTTATTTATAGCTGTTTATAAATAATATTATAATAATATTATAATATATATAATATTATAATAATATTATAATATATATAATATTTATGATAATATTATAATATATATAATATTTATGATAATATTATAATATATATAATATTTATGATAATATTATAATATATATAATATTTATGATAATAATACTGGTATTTCTCCGGGAAATGTGGGGTTCCTGAGATCGATTGAAGCAACTTTCTCCTTTACAAAAATTTTCTCCGAGACATCGTTCACGAGTTATTGACGAAAAACACTGACCAATGAGGAGCGAGCTCGGTTAGCGCGAGGCAGCCGAGCCAACGAGCGCGCGGAGCCCAGTTCCGTTCATCGGCTCGGCCGCCACGCGCCAGCTGATCCCGCCTCTCATTGGTCACTGTTTTTCGTTAATAACTCGTAAACGAAGCCGCGGATCGCATTTTCGCTGAGGAAAAAATTACTCCAAATGACCTCCTAAACTCCTCAGTCCCCGGAAATACAATAATTTTAGGACAACCTGTATATAGCAATGCTGGAATAAAAACGATGATTTAACTTTTCTGTTTCTAATTTTGTGCTACGATTCGAAGGCAATTCGGAGACCACGTTCCACGATTTTGACCAACTCCGTCGACCCTTAGCATCGACGTGGCAATGAATTGCATAGGCGTAGGATTAACACAGAGGAATTCACAAGAACATGAAATTTCTCCCTTCAGAGAAAGAGAGAGAGCGAGAGAGAGAGAGAGAGGGAGAGGGAGAGCGAGAGAGAGAGAAGGGGGTTCTTACTTAGAGTGTCGAGAGTTTAAGAAATCATAAGGGTCAGTAGGCTAAAGTCAGACTTCGGAAGATGACAGAGGGTCGAAGGGCCCTCCAGCGGAGGTCCATCATTTTTCCGGCCCCCCTCTCGAGGGTCCATGATTCTCCGTAGTGCAGTAACCATTGTCTGTTCCGCAGGGTGGACGGCGAGGACGTGAGACTGATGCTGTGGGATACCGCGGGCCAGGAGGAATTCGACGCAATCACCGCGGCTTATTATCGCGGCGCCCATGCCTGCGTCCTCGCTTATTCAGCCACTGACAGAGATTCCTTCGACGCCATTCCTTCGTGGAAGCAGAAGGTACGAGAGAGCTCCGCGCAGAGACATACGCGCCGCGGCGAACCGGTGCAAGCACGTTTCCGTAGGTAGTCACGACCGCGACTACGACCACGACCACGACGGATGGTGGAATGTGAAAGTGAAGGTGCCATTAAAGCAGGGGCTGATTTTCAGTCGCTCCGCGTCGCCGCGTCTCCGCGTCTCCGTTCCTGCTCCGACGTTAGATCGCTCAGAATGCCTTCTCCGCGAGCTGTCCCTGCCTGCACCCGATAATCTAATCTTCCGTTCGACCAGCCGTCGAATCGCGAGGACCGTGGCAGGTCAACGTTCGTCCCCGCGTCGGACACGGTCGTCCTTGCGTCTGAGATCTATTTCCCGTCGGTCAGTATTTTATTTCAAGCCGATACCGAGGTGTCCGATAACAGGACTACGATAGATGTCGCAGTTTCCGCGCCTGTCCCAATTTCCGTGCCCCCGGATTGTGAAAACGTGTAGAAAAAGAAAAGTGTTGTACAGAGTGCCCGAAAATGCTTCGCGATTCAGAAAAGAAAAGGTTCCCGAGGTGATTTCGAGCAACTTTTTCCTAAGCGAAAATGCGATCCGCGGCTTCGTTTACGAGTTATCGACGAAAAACGCTGGCCAATGAGAGGCGAGCGCGGCTGGCGCTCCACCCTCGTGGCCAATGCCGCGTCGCGCCGGCCGTCGACGCAGCGGTAGTGGTCGCGAGGGCGGGGCGCCAGCCGTGCTCGCCAACTCATTGGTCACCGTTTTTCGTTAATAACTCGCGAACGAAGCCGCGAATCGCATTTTCGCTCAGGAAAAAGTTGCTTGAAATGACCTCGGGAACCCCCTCCCCCCATTTTCGGATCGCAAGACATTCTAGCGACACCCTTAATAAATATAAATTCTATCATCGTCGCGTTACCCCACCTGTGCTCGCAATTATGTAAATAATGTCGAGACAATCCGACGGATAAAAATCGTTATTCGTTTTCCAGTATCTATCATTCTTCTCGGAAATTTCGCTGAAAAAATTTCCTCCTGTAATTGCCGGTTTCCGGGTCCCGTAACCGCGCGATCGTCGGATAAAAATTCTTCTGGCGTGGATCGATAATTGACGAGTGGATCGGGAACGCGATTCGCGGCGCAGCCTCCTCTTCGTTATGTGGCGCAAAGTAATTTGCATCGCCGCGACGGTAGGGGACACATACCGGTGCGCACGCACCGGCGAAAAGAGAATACAACTGCGAACGCGAAGACGCCCGAGACCATCGGACACGCTCTCGAATTCCTTTGGTAGAAACTTGCGCGTTCGCTTTTTTCCACGACCGGCGGAGAAACTGGCGGGAAATGGTGCGGCCCGAGCCTCGGAATCGGAGCACACGCGCGAATCGCAGGGGGATCCGTATCCCGGTGTCGCGTCGCCCCGCGTTTCCAGCGCGCGTGTCCTCTTCTTTCCGGTCGGTCGTGCTCCAAATTGTTGCCGGCTCGCTCGATTAATCGACAGAGAGGTACATACGCTCGAATCCGGTCTCGGAGCCGCCTCGAGCCTGGTCGATCGAGCGCGCACTGGAATAGACCGCGGATATACGCGATTCAACGACAGCAGATTCAGTCATGGGAACAAATCGCCCGTGGTGTACGATACAAATACAGGGTGTCCCAAAAATGTCTCCCAATCCGAAAGTAGCGGGTTCTTCGGGTATTTGAAGCAACTTTTTCCTTTACAAACATTTTCTCCGAGGCACCGTTTACGAGTTATTAACGAAAAACAGTGACCAATGAGAGGCGAGCTCGGCTGGCGCGAGGCGACCGAGTCAAGGGGAGCCGAGGCGATCGACCGCCTCGCGTCAGCCGTGCTCGATTCTTATTGGTCACTGTTTTTCGTTGATAACTCGTTAGCGGTGCCTCGGTGAAAATATTTGTAAAGGAAGAAGTTGCTTCAAATGATCCGAGGAACCCGCCATTTCCGGATTGAGAGACATTTTTGGGATACCCTGTATAAGAATTGTGTTCCTCGCGTTCGGCGTAAACGCGAAGCCGCGTACGAATCATCTCTGTCTCTGAAATTGTTTTCAACATTATTCGAATTCAATCGCCGGAAATATATTTTTGAAACGGCGCCGCGTGAAGGCTTCCGCGATGTGTGGTGCTTTCTGGTTCGTTTTCGATTCCGACCGAGGTTCTGCCGCCGGCCGTTTCTTAATTGCTCACCCGGTGCATCGGGTTACCGTGGATCGGGAGCGTCGTTATTTCATCTTTCGCCGCGTACTAATTGCGACAAGATGTTTCGTTCGCGGTGACTTTTCCTTCGGAATTCCTCCATGTTTTTGGACACGGTTTCTAGCGGATTGATCAAGATATAGATATAATAATTAAGAGATATAATAATTAACACGTTGCAATTTTTTGGGTCGATTCTTTATTATAATAATGCTATGTTATATTATATATTAATGTTTATAAATATTAAATAAATATTTAAATAAATATTAATGTTCGTTTATTTAAATAAATATTTAAACAAATAAATATTAATGTTTATTAATATCAATATTTATTGATATTAATATTTATTAATATAATGTTCGATTCTTTAAATTTATAATCTATTGATATCAATTTTTATTAATATCAATGTTTATTGATATTAATATTTATTTAATTATAATGTTCGATTCTCTTTTAAATATTAAATAAATATTTAAATAAATAAATATTAATGTTTATAAATATTAAATAAATATTTAAATAAATAAATATCAATTTTTATTGATATTAACGTTTATTAATATGAATGTTTATTGATATCAGACTGAACGATGATAAAACGATTAATTATAAATGGGAGACGACGAATCAGTCGGCGACTTAAAGTCCTGGTTTTGCTTTCGCAGGTGGAGAACGAGTGCGGCGAGATTCCCACGGTCCTCGTGCAGAACAAGATGGACCTGGTCGACCAGTGCGTGATTGATCCGTAAGCGTGGGCGTCTCTGGTCTCCTTTAATTATGAATCCGCGCGATTTCGAGCGATCTCGAGCAGAGCAATTGTTCCAGAGATGAGGCGGAGAGGCTAGGCAGAGCATTGGGCTGCAAGCTGCTGCGGACATCCGTGAAAGAGGACGTCGGAGTCATGAGCGTCTTCCGGCACCTGGCGTCGCGATGTCTCCACGAGATGCGACGCTGCGACGACGATTATCAGGACGACCTCAGACTGTACTCGTCCGGGCCCAGATCGCCTTCTGTAATAAGTGAGTACGCGCGTACAAATCCCCGACCCTAACTTACCCCTATTCGGTCAAATTATCCGAACAGCCGATGATTTAACCCTTCGCTCTACGATTTAAGTTTCAAGAAGGTCTGAAGTTATTATTCGGACACTTTTTTTAAAACGCGATAACTTTTTTAGAAATGAACTAAACGACTTGAATTTCAGTTTAGGTGATAGAGGGTAAAAGATTAAATTCTTACTTTTTTTATGATCACTTAATGCATATGATATTGCTAGACCGCCGCCTATAATTTCAGGCGATCAAAAGTTTGTCCATCCCTCATATACAGGGTGTCCCAAAAATGTCTCGCAATCCGAAAGTGGCGGGTTCCTTGGGTCATTTGAAGCAACTTTTTTCTTTACAAAAATTTTCTCCGAGGCACCGTTAACGAGTTATTGACGAAAAACAGTGACCAATAAGAGGCGAGATCATTTGGTGTGAGACGGCCGAGCCAATGGGCGGAACCGGGCTCCGTGCACTCGTTGGCTCGGTCGCCTCGCGCCAGCCGAGCTCGCCTCTCATTGATCACTGTTTTTCGTTAATAACTCGTTAACGGTGCCTCGGAGAAAATTTTTGTAAAGAAAAAAGTTGCTTCAAATGACCCAAGGAACCCGCCACTTTCGGATTGCGAGACATTTTTGAGACACCCTGTATACAGGGTCGAAAATAATGAATAAAATATTTTTAGTCGAGGATCCGTTGTCGCGAGAATCGAGTCACGCGCCGAATACTATTCGCAGCTGCAAGATCGACAGCTGCATTTTGACGACAATGACAAATTCGACAAATTCGAACAGTCGACAGCGGCCCGTAATTCGAGCCGGAGCCGCGCGCGTACTCGCTGCACAAATCGAAACAGACTCCCTCTGCGGAATAAAGTCCGCGGTATCAGATTACACGGAATTTAATTACGGCTGACGCGGCGACACCGAGCATCGAGTGCTACCGCAACAAATTTGTAACAGCCCCAGGGAAACAATATGTAGTCTGACGCCAGTTCACACGTGGTCGATCCGACCTAGCCGTTCACCAGTCGTTTAAGACGGTAATGGCTGTGCGAAAAGAACAGTACACTTTCTTGGAAACTCATCCGTGGAGATGATGCATAATGTATTAACCGTGCCGGATAGGCACGCTTGTAGCCGCACAGCTCGTCTCGATTCTCCCCTATCCATGCTTCTACCGAGTATGTCGTCAGCGCTGTACTACAAAGATTACGGATCGACATCTTTATGCACGTTCAAGGGTCGGAAGAATTTTCAGAAAGCTATAAACTACGAACACTCGCGCGCGATGCGCATATTTAATCCACACTTTTGCCGAATCGGAAAATGGAAGCGTTTAACTATTATTGGTTATATTTACTTGATAATAATTACTTTGATCGTTGGTTTAATATGATATCCATCGCTTCCGAATTTGTATTAACACTGGAATTAACAAAACAGTCGAAACGACTGGTTACTGATCTTTTCTTTTACAGTTCCTGTCACTGTAAAAATATTTCCAGACGAAATTTTCAGGTACACTTCTTTATTGAAGCATATATTAATATATTGTATTATTAAGTAAATCCAGTTTCGGCATTGTTATGAAATAATATACACGAGTCAAGTTTAGGGCTCGGTAGTTCTAGTGTTAAACACAGGGTGTCCCAAAAATGTCTCGCAATCCGGAAACGGCGGGTTTCTCGGATCATTCGAAGCAACTTCTTCCTTTACAAAAATGTTCTCCGAGACACCGTTAACGAGTTATCAACGAAAAACAGTGACCAATAAGAATCGAGCACGGCTGACACGAGGCGGCCCAACCAACCAGTGCGCGAAGCCCAGTTCCGCTCATTAGCTCGGTCGCCTCGCGCCAGCCGAGCTCGCCTCTCATTGGTCACTGTTTTTCGTTAATAACTCGGTTAACGGTGCCACGGAGAAAATGTTTGTAAAGGAAAAAGTTGCTTCGAATGACCCGAGGAACCCGCCACTTTCGGATTACGAGACATTTTTGGGACACCCTGTATATTGAAATATTAATCGAGTTGCTGCACCGTTGACGACGTAACATTTGGCCAAAGTATGACCGGGGCGAGAAATCGAGAAAATAGGTTAGCCCTATCGGTCGAACGTTTCAGCCAAGGGTGAACGGTTGGACGAACTCGAAGGGCCGGCCAGGTTAGCTACGATAAGATAAGGGTTAGTTAAGCGTTGGCCCAGATTCGCCGGTTGTCTGCCCCGGTCAGTATTTGACCCACGCGGTCGCGCGTGTGCAGGTGCGTGTATATAGATCAGCGGGTTCTGTTTCGCCTCGAGCAGGGACGGATTCAATGAACCTACTGGACAGGTGTATACAGGGTGACGGGATCGGAGACAGGATTTTTCGATCGGCTCGCAGGCGATTACTCTCCCTGCTAGATAAAATGTCTCATCGATCCGGTTAAACTGTTTTCGCACCTCTATATATATATCAAGAGCAAAAGATAGATCGTCGTTGCACTCGCTAATACACGACGTTGATGCGATTCTTTTTGCATTTAAATAGCCTGATACGAGGAATTATATTACCTAGAAATCGCGTCGATAGCCGAAAGTGAGAGCGAACGGTCTGCTAAAGAACCGATCTAGGAAAACAGTGTCACTGGAACAACGTATCGAAGCAGACTACAATCGCACACATCTAACGACATCTACATCGCAGATTTTGAAACTGAACGCAATTAGTTCTCACCGGTGCGGCGAGACCGTTAATTCTTCGCCCGAAATTTCTCGAACACCCTTTATAATTTCACGGTTTAACGAACATGTTTCGTGCCGCTCGGAGTTTCCGGTTTCCGGTGGCGTTTCAAAAGTCGATCAGAAATACCATAAAGCTGCAGCTCGTTTCGTTGTTACAGCCGTATGTATTTCGCGAGGCGTCGGGGGGTCTCTAGAAGATCGCGAACATCGAAGATCAATAACTGTCGGGTTTGTTTAAGTGCGAGAGCCGCGAGCGCCCACCTCTGCACGGTGTCCAAGTACAACATCTTCTCTGATCGCGTGACTACCACCATCGATCTCGATTCTTGAATAACGCCCAGGTGTTCGGGTCCCGTCTGTACGCCTGAACACAGACGCAACGGCCGAATAACATTTTCCATTGGCTGCCGGACATCACCCAAAGGGAGAAAGAACTTTTTCGCTTTCTACGTTAACCCGATCGCTAAGAAGAGACCAATTAACTTCGTACTCGAGCGTGTCTTGAGCAACTTACCGGGCCCGGCTCTTCAAACTTCTATATATGGTTCGAATCTTGAGCGTGCTCGAAAGGAAAACATTTTCATGTACGATTATTCTTTGATATCTTAATTATCTTTAACGATCTTTAATGTAATAATTTATGTATCTTTTTAGTTACGAGAACGTTTCGGAGCTATGCTTGAGCTAGACTCGCTAAAAATATCCTTCAGAAAATTACAGGATCGCCGAAACTATGGCACTCTGCAGATATACAGGGTGTCCTGAAAATGTCTCGTAATCCGGAAATGGGAGGTTCCTGAGGCCATTTGAAGCAACTTTTTCCTTCGCGAAAATTTTCCCCGAGGCTTCGTTTACGAGTTATTAACGGAAAACACTGACCAATAAGAGGCGAGCTCGGCTGGCGCGCGGCGGCTCAGCCAACGAGTGCACGGAGCCCGGTTCCGCTCATTGGCTCGGCCGTCTCGCGCCAAATGATCTCGCCTCTGATTGGTCACTATTTTTCGTTAATAACTCATTAACGAAGCTGCGGATTGCATTTTCGCTAAGGAAAAAGTTGCTTCAAATCACCTCAGGAATCCCCTACTTTCGGATTGCGAGACATTTTTGGGACACTCTGTACCTGCTTCGATGAACCGATTGAACTGAGATTCGACGCAAATGTTCCGAATAGAATTGTCTAACTTTTATCGTGGATTCTTTCTGAACGCTATCATACATTTTTCTATGAAGAATGATCGGACCACTGTGAAATCCAGAACCGCGTATTTGCTGTAAAAGTATGGGAACACAATTCTGTAGGTGAAAAGAAAAAATAACAAATAAATCTTGATTGAAAGAGTATTCGTAGGAATAGAAAATAAGACAAAATATTGCCACACGATATAATGTAAGAACCGTTTTATTCATAAACAATAAAAATTATACAAGTAGCTGTCTCAAGGTTTACAATCTACACGGATAATCTAAAGTACATCAATTAAACACACGTTAACATTCGTCTAATATAAGCACTACGGCTTTGCGACTTTTTCCCGCCCTCTCTCTCTCTCTCTCTCTCTCTCCCTCTCTGTTCTCTTCTTTCTCTCTCACTTGTCTATCACATTTAGTATTTGTTATAAAATACGTTAGGGTCCCATACTTTTTTCCATACCGTTGTACATTTTCACGTATATGTTTCGTGTAAATTATTCGTTATTCGTATTTTGAATATGTAACAATCTACGTGGTGCATGTAATACTAGAACTATAAAGTAGGTCCAGTGCTTTGTACTAAATAAAAGTACTGCACGAAAAATGCACGATATACACTGCTCTCCAACTGGATCATGCCATGAACTAAAGAAACTATCGGTTAAGTCAAGTAAGATTTATAAATGTAGGAACGCCCCGACTGCTTCGACGAATACTTCTGGTATTGTATGGAATAAAACAATAACCACAGAAAAAAATTACGTATATCTATGAAACATTGTACATGGCGAGATAAAAAAAGTATTTGTACACTGCTAGTTTACTCTATCAACCGATAACACTTTTATTAGTGGAAGCAGATCAAGAATATTTTAATGATCATACTGCATCTAAGAGAAGATTAACAATTTTCTGCAATTGATTAGTATGAAAAATAGCAGCGCACTGTTCAGAGGACTATGAAGTTAACTAGTAACAATAGTTGCAGCGTTAATACTGTTTCAAAATATTGAAAATCATTTGTATCAAATTACTTGACAAGAGAGAGTTCAGGTTTATTATAGTGTGAGCTTATGAAAATAACTTTTTTTTTCTTGTTATATTAAAAATGTTAACGGCAGTCGACTGCGAGGGATAAGTAATGTATAAATATTAATTTCTCCCACTGTAACTATTATTTCAAAGCGGGTCCAATCGATGTTTATGAAAATGCTTCTCGGTTTATGAAAATATAAATATAAATATATGTGTATACTGTGTTCTAGGTGCTTTTAGTCCCAATGGATCTATATGCGGTCGAAGTACGGGAAATGGTACGATTGTTTTGCGGCCAGGAACCAAGGCAAAAAACCATAAGAAGAGGAATTTCGTGAAAAACGCCTGTAGGCTGCTTTAGTCTTTGCGTGGATAAATACGTGAAAAGCTGTTTACGAACTAATCTCTAACCGTGTACAGACTGATATTCATATTTATGAGCGATGGATATGAACCTACATGAGCTTTGACAATTACAATTGATCATGTAGGTGCAGCTGAACGTACTGTATGGTTCGAATGATTACACTGTTCAGCACATTTCGTGTTCCAATGATCAATAGATAACTTTTGTATAGATTTTCATGCGCTGAATACCGACTCGGAACTGTTTTTCTCCATCGTCATCATCACTTTTCGTGAACTTTAATTTTTAAAAACAAGTTGAATGGAAAAAACGATTTTCATATTTGTATAGAGTGTCGAGATCTCTAATAATCTTCTACTAATTATTGAGACACCAAAACTGTGCGAGACAGTGTTATTAAATCGCATTTAGTGGCGGTAAGCTGAGAAATTCGAAACGATAATTTATAACAATTAGAACAATTTTCTGAGAACAATAAAAATATAAAAATTTTAAATATTCGCACGATGATGAAAGTAACATTTTATATATAAACAATTTTTTATATAAAAACAATGAATTTCTTTTAACTCACCGACGCTATTATAATAAGTGCACTGTGTAAATAGTTTTAACGTTAATCTCCACTTCAATCTGAAGCATACGTAAGTATCGTAATCGTTTAAGCCAATTTTGCAGAGACATTTAATATTCGAATAAAATAAATATATTATTTGTATATGTAAAAGACCGAGGTTAACGAAAAGTACAGTGTTTTCTCTTTTTTATGCATGTTGAGTCAATGTAATTGTAACAAGTGATCAGTGTAGGTAATATAATATATATATATACGTGTGTGGTAAAATTCTTCGCTAAAAATATGTTCAAATATTAAAAGATGTTTTTAAATCGTTTTGATTTTTTATAGAAGTTAATTTATATGTAAACAGATATCAATATAATGGCTAACCAAATATTCTACGTTATAAGAGAAAGAATCTTATATTGACAGAAACCAATTTTTCATGAATGGTAACAGCGAGAAATAAATAGAAATGAGATGTTACACAATTTTTAGAGAGTTTGTTTCAACCAACACCTTCGAGAACATAAG